TATTTATACATTCCACTCAATTAGTATGTGATTTATTTATTTTCTATCATAATTTTTATATCGTGATATATATCGTTACCACCACCCATCATAAAGTATATGGTGATATGATTTTTTTGCCATATGGCACATTCCTAATACTAATCAGTGTGGCAATACTGTCATATTACTTTGACTATACTAACTGAAAGTGTAAACATCTCTTTCATTTTCTGTTTTCACTAAATTTAATCTCTTGTTTTACTTATGCTCAGGTATGTTAGTCATCCAGGACATGGCAGTTTAAATATATGTATACAGTATTTACTGTATATTTTCTGACTTACTTTTAATACAAACCCAAGTCTAAACATTCAGGTAATGTTTCATGATTCAATTTCCTACATCAGGACATTTAGCATATTACTAGGATTGATATTTAAGTAACTACAAGTACATATGAACAACAGCACATCAAAGAAGAAAAACCTCAGCATTGATTRAGGGTTGGGCAAAATCATGTTGTGTGCAATCAATCATAAAGAAAAACTGTCAATAATTAAMATTTGCTGTTTTGCAATTACTGCAGTTAGTGCCATGTGATGAGGTATTTTTGTGTATGACATACTATCACTATCAGGCGCACACTTAACCCTACAAACTTATTTAATCACTTGAAACACCAACGTAAACCGGAGTACGAGTAGAGCCAGAGAAGTTAGAACAAGGCCATAATGTCAGCCACGTGCAAGAGATATTGTCATCTATTAATCATCATATTAATCATTATCGGCTAAATGACACAATTAATCTTGATCATTTRCTTTACCCAACCCTACATATACGTATTATAAATAAGTGACTTTTGTTGCACAAAAGTTTGGGAAGCATTACAAAAATATTTCCAAACTTTTCAAAGTTCAACATTTTAGAGTTAAAGAAAGTAGGGATGGGCGATACGGACTAAAAAATTTATCACAATAATTTCTAGGTTTGATCACGGTAACATAATCTGTCACTACATTCTGCCTTGAGATCCCTAAAATAATACTAGATGCCACTAAACTACATTAATTAAGTTCAAGTAGTACACCTGTGTTGCAAAACTGACACCCCTCAAACAAGTCTGAAACATGAGAACAAATTTGATATTTATTTAAATGGTGTAAACAGCAAATAAATAAATAAATAAATAAATGTGCAAGAATGCAGAAATAAGGCTAGCAAGAACATCTGTATATGCTTTACACCTTTAGATTTTTGGTCAAAAGGACCAGCATATTTACTGTATATGCAGCAGGATTTTATTGTTTTTATGGCGATATGACAAATTATTACCACAGTGAATTTCTTTCACGGTATATCGCACAAAATAACATATCGCCCATCCCTAAAAGAAAGATTATTAACAGACTGAAAACCTCTAAGACATAAGTGGGCCTCCCAGCAAGGCAGTAACTGGAAGGAAAAGGAAAACTATCTGACATTTTGACAAATAAGAACAAAAGGAAATGTTTCATAACGTTGTCATTTACAGCAACACTTTTCTTTCRAAACCCTGCTGTGGATCTTTCTTTCTAGTTAAGTAATGTGTGTGTTTTTAATCATTTTTTGTTTAGGATCATTTTGTTTGAGGATCATCCCTGACCACTGCAGCATTGTGTCATTGGTGGCGGCACATTGAAAGCCTCGGAGCGTAATTGTGGCTGAAACAGAAAATAACGTTATAAGCAATGAGTCAACCTCACGTCATCCGTGAGTCAGTCTGTCCAACTTAAAATACAATACATTTAAAAAGAAAATACTCAGGTTGCCTCAGTCAGAATCCAGGCGTCCGACTAATTGAAATGCTGTGGTGAGACCTTAAGAGTGACGTTTTGAAACAAGTACCTGTAAACCCAAAATGAGTTGAAGCAATGTAGTGAGAAAAGTGAGTCAAGATTTCCTGAAAGGTTGTTGGCAACTGATGCTCTCAAACTGAAGATTACTTCCAGTTATTGGCTGCTAAAGGTGGTTTTACAGGTGTGTGGTTTTTACCACTATTATACAGGAATTAATTTAAACATACTGATGATTCTTAATTTGTAACGTTAATTTTAAGTCTCATAATGCCAGGATGTGGCCGACAACAAAACTAGTTTATCAAGTCYTTTGTTTTGATTTGTTTTATAGTTTGAGTGATGTTGCTGCGTTTTAACCTTCTGTTTGTTGAGCCGGCTTTGAGGCTTAAATGATTTCTTTTCGACGATGACGTAAAACAGGTGTCACCTGAATCCACGGGTGTAATAAAAAACTCTTATTGTTTTCAGGRGGAGCTGATGAGGCCTGTAATTATCACTTCATGTTCACAGTTTCCCACAGAGCGAGCTGACGGCGTCAGAAGGCAGACTCGAGTCAAAGCTCTCTGATACTATAATAACACCAAGGGTCCATCCCACAGATCCATTCTCTAGTGTATCATAAAGAACAGCTGGTCAGGGTTTGCCACAGTCATCTTATATGTAACTAAAATAKAGGATGTCACTTACAGTCCCCTCAGCTGCACATTCTGTGAATATAAACACTGTGTTGACACTGGAATGTGACTGAAGCTGAGGGTAAACTTTCTGCTGTGAGCGGAGCATCTTCTGGTGACGATGACATGGGATGAGAGCAAACAAAGTTTTATTATCAGCCGACACCAGGAGAACTGGGCGATTACGTCTGGCCTTGTGTCTGCATCTGTGTATTTGGTATTTAGTCTGTTAGCTAAAGTGTCTCAGACTGAATTGAATGAAGCTCAGAAAATAATCGTTGGATCTTCTACACTGATTAGGTTTTGTTTTTAACCAGATTCAAGAGGACCACCACAGTTAATCAGCTACAAATCATTCATTTTTACACGTATTGAGCTAAAAGTTAGTGTAGTAGTTATCCTCAACACATAAGAAAGCCAACAGATTGTGTGAGGTCTRTGTTTTAAARTGTGACATGCAGGCAGGCGATCTGRAATCCTCTAGRTTCATTCATTTAGAGCCATATTGAAACGTGCAAATAATGCTTTTATACAGTGTTTGATGAATCTTTTCTCAGACAATGACTTGAYTGTAAAAAGTGGTCAGCAGCTTTGTGGTTATAAACCTATTTGACAGGAAATGATTGTTTTCCTTCTTATTCATTCATTTATCTGGTGAATCTGAAAATTCTTGACTCGCAGCTCATTAATCTTGTTCCAGCTCTGCGTGTGATGCATCTAACAGCTCCTGAACACCACAGTGAATGTTGAAAAATGTTGTTGACCTGCATGAGTAAAATGATTTAAAAGCCGCATGTGGAAAGATGGATATAATTTTATTCATTTCCAGGATCCCATAGCAACAGTCACCTCAGTAACCAGAAAACCTAAGAGCAAATGGAGACCACTGCCTTTGGACACTGTGGTAAGATGATGAAACCAAACAACTACCCACATAACGCAGACTGCAGAATAAAAAACAAAAACAAACGTCTTTTTCATCTATGGAATGTTTGTTTTTTTTAGCTGAAAAGCAGATTTTATCTTTGTGTCACTACATTTATCTGACCTGCAGGAACTGGAGAAGCTGGCATCTCGGAAGCTCGGAATAAACGCCAAAGAGACCATGAAAATTGCTGAAAAACTTTATACACAAGGGTGGGTGTTCCAGGTTTTTAACAAGCAGCATTTCTGATTTGTGGACTTTTCTACTGAGTCCAAGAGAACCGAGTACTCCACATCGTTTAAATTTCACTTTGTTTTACTGTTTGCTGACAAACTTTAGGCTGTTCAGATTAGGGTTGGACGATATTGGCAAAAAAATTAATCACGATTAATTGTGGTATTTAGCCGATGACGATTAATTTGACGATTAATCCTCTGGAGTCCCTGGACGCCCTTATGTCCTAGTCACATGACCAATTTAGTGGGAAAATTTGCTCTTCAAAAAAATCTGTTCCAAATTGTCAAAATTACAGACTTCGAGCTATACATCAAATTTTTAATTGTGTTGATAGATAAATATATTTCAGAATTTATTTATTTTTATGTTCCTCATGTTTGAAGCGGAGAGGAGCACTGAGTGGACTGACCGGGGAAATCTCCAGTCACTCTGCCTGGTGGCATTAATCGTATTAATCGTCAAGTGCCAAAAAATAATCGATTAATGTTTTTCTGATGATTAATTGCACAKGATACGATTATGCACAACCCTAGTTCAGATCTATGAGGGATTTCTTAACCAGGAGTTTTATATTTCCAGAGATTTTTCCTCTTTGTTTTATTTAATTATTATTATTATTTTTTCCATTTTCGTTTAGCTATATCAGCTATCCCCGCACAGAAACCAACATTTTTCCTGCCACTCTCGCCCTGGCCCCCCTGGTGGAGCAGCAAACCCACAGCCAGGAGTGGGGGACATTTGCCCAGCGGGTGCTGGACCAGCCGGGGGGACCCAACCCACGGCAGGGCAGAAACTCCGACCAAGCCCACCCTCCCATACATCCCACCAAGTTCACCAACGCGCTGCAGGTCGGCTGCTTCGTCTCTTTATTTCTCAGTTTTTTTTTAAATCAGTCTGAACTCGTTTGTTCTGAAGACGTTTTCAATAAAAAGCGTTTCATAAAGAAAAACACAAAAGTGACCAAATGAACAAGTCCTTGTTTGTTTTCACTTCATATTTTCTGTTTTCCAGGGTAACGAAGCACGAGTGTATGACTTCATAGCTCGGCACTTCCTGGCCTGTGTATCCCAGGATGCTTTGGGGCAGGAGACGGTGGTGGACATCGACATCGCTCATGAGAAGTTCTCCGCCTCTGGCCTGATGATTATTGCAAAGAATTATCTGGATGTTTACCCCTARGACAAGTGGAGCGCAAAGGTGTGGATAGAATCATTAAACCATTCTAATCTGAAACTTCCAGCTAAACTTTAGGACCTGTTGCTGCTTGTTTGTAAAAAAAAAACTTMGATTAACATTGTTCTGCAGGTGATCCCGGTGTTTGAACAAGACTCCCAGTTTCAGCCCTCCGCCATTGAGATGGTGGATGGACAGACGAGTCCACCGCAGCTGCTCACTGAAGCTGACCTCATATCCCTGATGGAAAAGCACGGCATTGGTAACGTTTAAACCTCACCGAGGCAGAATCTGTGTCAGTCGGTCTGCCCAATATAGAACAATTACAGTTATTACAATAACAATGTGCACAATGCAACATAACACAGACCTGAAATAAATTATAGTCTGTTATACAGTATTTAAAGTGCTGTGCTCTGAAGAGGAAATACTGACCAATCACATAGACTGCTCTTGATGCCCACAGTGGATTTGATTATAATATATTCTTTATCTCAAGACAAAAAGTGGTCCATAACATATATATAAAAAAGAAAGGAAAATTTAAAAAGTATAAAAGCAGATAAAACAAAACATCACATAAAAGACACAGATAAACAGTTATTCCAGTACTTAAAGAAACCAGAAGTATATCTAAAATCACTGTATGTTGCAGTTGTCAGCACTCTTATTATAAAATTGTTTAATTCATACAGATGATTAAAATGATGAAGAGAGATTTCAGTGCAGCTCTAAAAGTAGTTTATTTCTCTGTGTTGTGAGCATCAAAGATTAGCTGGTGGCTCAAAATTGCAAGAAAATTGGCAACTTTCAATATGTTTTGGTGTGTATTTTTGCTTATTTCCTAGTACTTTCTTCATTAAGGTTCATTTTTGTCATCCTAAATCAAACCTGGCAACAACGTTAAGAAGTCAACGTGGATGTAATTTGATCTGGTTTTACAGTTTGATTGTGTAATTTTGTGTTTGTTGTACAGGCACAGATGCCACACATGCAGAGCACATCGAGACCATCAAGAGCCGAATGTATGTGGGTTTGACTGCAGACCAGAGGTTTCTTCCTGGAGAGCTCGGGATGGGACTAGTGGAGGGTAACACAAACAAACGTCCTGCACAACCTGTTAGCCTTTTGTGGATAACCCTCAGCTGCTACCACACCAAATTTTAACTCTATATCTGTAAAAATGGCTGCGGTAGATATTTTTGTCTTTGCTAGCAGTGATTAACTGCGGTAGTCATCTTGAATTGGGTCGACTTCAAAAGTTAACGACTTGTAGATGTACATAATTTGCATTGTTCATGAAATATTTTGCTAACAGACAGCTGTTTTTGAGTTTGTGTCAGAAGAAGAGCTCCTGCTGTGATAAATAAAATAATTAAAACATTTTAAAAAACATCTGAAATAAAAGCCTTACTTTAAAATTTATTTTAACCGCTAAATTATTTCTGTTTCCAAGTTAAAATAAGTATCGTATCCAAACTTTAACATGATTTTACAAAAAGCTCAGGCATCCACAAAGGCTTCAGCAAATCCAAAGAGCATCACTTCAGTTTTATCCTCTTCAGCTATCCAAATTTATTTTTAAATGTTGTGCTTCAGCTGTAGAAATAAAATCACTTCCTCTGCAATTTTAAAAATAAAGAATACTTGTTATATTTTCTTTTACTAGTATCTCACTGAGCAGAGACTGCAAATTATGTGAGAGCTTTCCATAATGTCAAAATAATCACCAGTTTCTGAATTTCCTCGCTTGAGTTACAAAGGCGATTCACATAAAATTTAAACATGTTCAAATAACCAAAAAAAGAATAAATAAAACATGCATGTTAGATTTCCTTACAGCCCAGGCCTCCTTTGCAAAAGATGAGATTTGCCTGGTCTAATAAAGATAAATAAATACAATAAATGATATTTTCATGCTCAAAAGGCTATTTTTTTCCGCTTGAAATATTCATAAATATCTTGCAGGTGTCTCAGACTCTTCTCAGATTAGTTTCCATACATTTAGAGTGCTAGGGCTGTATTTTTTTATTTATTTATTTTACATTTAGTATTAAAATTCATGTCAAATTTTGCCACAAATTCTGTCAGGAGTAGCAATTTTGTGTATTCAACCAGTCCCTAACAGTCACTTCTCAGTGCTGCCTTCAAGATGGAGCATTTCTAGGAAAGATAATTTTGGTCCGAGATTAGAACCCTGGGGAACACCATGAGAGAGAACTGATACATGAACGTGCTTTATTATGTAGAAATGTGACTCTGACGCATCTGTTTAGGTTACAACTCTATGGGCTACGAGATGTCGAAACCAAACCTTCGCGCTGAGCTGGAGGCCGACCTCAAGCTGGTGTCAGAAGGCAAGAAGGACAAACATAGCGTGCTGCAGCATCACGTTCAGAAATACAAGACCGTCTTCATCGAGTCTGTCAGGAAGGCTAAAAAGTTTGTTGCAGTTTATATCATAGCTTATATTTTATAATGATTAAGTCATTCAGAGTGCTAGAATCTCTGCACCCTGCAGATAACCTCTGTTGTTTCCTCAGGTTAGATGAAGCTCTGGTTCCATATCTGGGTGCACCTCAGGAGATCACTGAAGTCGAACAGCAGGACATGGAGATCCCGCTGCCGGTGAGGAAGTGTCCGAGCTGTGGTCGGGACATGGTGCTGAAAAAGAAGAGGGAGGGAAACAGGTGAGAGGTTGCCTCAGCCTTAAACACAATTAAAACATATTTTATTATGTCTGCCTATAAAGCAAAAACATTTTCATGCTGTAAATTTATGGTTTATACATCAACATGAGTTTAATTCACTTTTTTTGCATGAAAACTCATTCTGAGTTTATTAGTGAAAAGTAATCCATCAGAGTGAACATTTAGTGTCTTTATCTGTTTATTTTCTAATTAAATAAACAATTTTTACTCATCTTACCTGCTCTGTGTCTCCACCTGCAGTAAGTTTCTGACGTGTGTGGGATACCCAGCCTGTAAAACAGCCGTATGGTTTCCTGAAACGGTGCTGGACGTCAGTAGAGATGAAAGTGTTTGTCCCACATGTCAGCCGAGTCCTGTTCACATGTGAGAACTGACTTTGTTTTACTTCTTTTTGTTATTTACAGGACTACTGTGAATTTTCAGCCTCCCAAAACTGACAAAGATATAAATTGTCTCRTATTATTTGGCTAATAATAAACAAACATGCTGTGTCAAATCTTGAGATTCACAGCAAGTATTTCTTTAGTGTTTTCACTTTGTGGCTTTGGGAAGGATACAAAAAAATGTTTGATCTATTTGCCGTCAGTTCAGATGTTGAAAATAATAAAAGGGGAAATCATAAAGGAGTTTTAGGTGTTATTTGTTTATCACACAAACATTTGAGGGGAAGTTTGATGACACAGTTAAAGCCCATTACGTTTCTTCACACAAACGGTCAGGTGGCGTTCCCACAATATGTTGACCTAAAAGGTTTCCAACTTTATTCTACTTTCAAATTAAAGTTAAATAGCCTCATTTATTAATAATAAACCTACTAAACAAAGAATCTTTCAGAACAAAGTTACTTATATACAATGTTGTATAAAGTACCTCAAAGTGATACTTGAGTAAAAGTACAAGTATATAATCATAAAATTACTTTGGTAAAACTTAAAGTCTCCTCTAGAATATTACTTGAGTAATCTTAAAGGATCAGATTTTTTTTGTACTTAAGTATCAAAACTAAAATTTTAACATAAACTATACTTAAGTATTAAAAGTAAACGTATTGAGTAAATGAGCGGTTAGATTTTCCAAAATACATTTATTGGGAGGTGACCTCCAAAAAAAATTATTTCTAAAGTGCAGCTGTGATGGATTGTGTACAAATTCAGTATCAGAATGGTATACTTTTATACTTCTCATCCAACTACAATTAAATTCACTCTATCCTGGATGCACAATATTTTAGGATAGTATTTTTTTAACACTAACAAGCCGAAACAAATTTGGAGAAATGACTTTCTACTTCTTACCTTTTTAAAAAATGTAAGGAGTAAAAAGTACAGATAACTGTGTAAAAATGTAAGAAGTAAGGAGGCTGAAAAATAATTACTCAAGTAAAGTACAGATAACCAAAATTTTGACTTAAGTACAGTAACAAAGTATTTGTACTTGATTGCTTTACAACTCTGCTTATATAATATATAAAGTTTTCTCTCTCCAGTTTGTATTTTTTCTTCCAACTTTTTCTGAGTGAAACAAAAGACAAAACTTTCCAACATTTTCATAAATGGTGTTGGAAATTTAAAAGGGCTACCGTACTTRTTCTTTTAGCCTTTTATTGTCCAGTTAGTTCCTTATTAATAATTTGCACTGAATCATTTTGTTAATCAGTACAAGTGGTGTAATAGTCTGAATCCACTGTAGATTTTATTAGATCTTACACAGGATGTTCTGCTCAGGCAGGCAGTACCTCCACTCATCAACAGATGATATCCACCATCCTTTTCATTGTCACTGCAGAGCGACGGGCCTTCGGCGCATCATGTTTCCCTCTCATCTGCACAAACACCAACGACACCCGGGGCTCCCAGGAACTCGCAGCGGCCTCGCCGGTGCAAAGAAAATCTGTCTAAATTCTTGTGTACACAAGTAGGCGTTAACCCCCTGAGCTCTAGCCTCAGCTCAGTCCAAATATAGGGCACGCTCGCTCAGCAGTGAGCAAAAAGTGCTCCTCACCAGCTCCTGGTTACCACGACAACCAATCTGGTACGGCGCTCAAAGTTGAGCTGCGGTAATTATTCAAAAACAATAACATTTTTTTATCATTATTATCAGATTTCAACTCAGCTCGTTTGCAGGGCTTCAGCAGCAGACATGAGTTGGAGTAAACTGTTTCTGGTTACTATAGCAACGTTGTACATTAAGTTTATTACCTTTTTTCCACCTTTATTTATACAGGAAGCTCATTTAAACACGAGGACTCGTTCTCAAGAAGACCAAACAAATGATGGACAAACACTGTGGACAGAAACAAAAGCGATAAAATGAAGTAAAATCAACATAAAACGCCAAGCAGAGCAGGATAAAACACTACAAACATGAACAAATGTACAGATATTTTTAAATAAAGTCCCTYCAAAGTGTTTAAAATCCCCCAAAGAAATGAAAGTGGACAACTTTAAACCTGGTTCAAGGTGATCAGGGTGAAACAAGCACCTGGAAAATCGTTTGTTCTTAAATATTGTTTTGTACTGTGGATCTTCACTTATATTGCCAGATAATCAATCCTATAATTTCTGTTTATTTATTTACATATATCAATTAATTTCTTTCGAATCCCCTCATCTTTATTGTTTTCCATCTGTCAACTGGTTTTTTGTGTCTCCTTGTTTTCAGGTTGAAGTTGAAGTTTCGTAGAGGCAGCCTTCCTCCCATGATGCCTCTTGAATTTGTTGGCTGCATTGGTGGTTGTGATGAGACGCTCAGAGAGGTGCTGGATCTCAAATACCTCAGGGCAAGAGGAGGAGGAGGAGGGGACCCTCCAGCTTTAAGGCCACCTGGAGCTCCAAGTTCCAATCCCCGCCCCTCACTTCCTCCTGTCTCTTCCTGGACTCCGCAGCCAAGACCTCCACCAGATGGCGGTGGCGTGTGTGTCGAGACCGGCGGTGACGCCATCGTGTGCAATTGCGGTCAGGACGCAACCCTCCTCACCGTGCGCAAAGACGGGCCCAATCAAGGTCGCCAGTTCTACAAGTGCAACTCTGGGAGCTGCAACTTCTTCCTGTGGGCGGACCAGCCGGGGCTGCAGCAGAGCCAAGGGCCCTCGCTGTCAGCGCAGAGGGGCCCCCAGCCTCTGAGGCCATCTGTGGGGTTCAGAAACACGCCCAGTGGTGGCAGAGGGCAAGAGGCGTGCGCGGCGGAACACGTGGGACACACAATGTGCAAATGCAACGAGGCGGCGGTGACGCGCACGGTGCAGAAGGACGGGCCCAACAAGGGCCGCATGTTCCACACCTGTGGGAAACCACGAGATCAGCAGTGTGGCTTCTTCCAGTGGACAGATGAGAACGGATCAACGCAAGGTAAGAGTCCAGGGTTCGCACGGGTCCTTGAAATCCTTGAAAGTTTGTGAATTTGAAAAATGATTTCAAGGCCCTGGAAAATTTGTGAAAATAGCCAAAAATTACACTTGTCCTTGAAAGTCCTTGAATATTTTGGGGGGATTGAAATTCTCTATTCACACAACTGATTTTTAACATACATAAAAAACAAAACAAACAAAAAAAACTTACATTTGTTGCGGTGGATAACTCAGAATTACAGTAAACTGACATGGCTTTCAACAAATAACGTCATAGTTTTAGCCAATCAGAGCAGAGTAGGACGGGTCTTTCTTTCTGAGCCCAGGTGAAGCACCACAGCTCTGTCCTCATCGAGCATCTGGACATGTTCACATCCCCTCCTCCCAAACTGAGCTGCTGAACCTCCCAGGACATAATTACATGTCCATGTATTCTGGACATGAATGTAGGGTAAACATTTAATCCACTTTTCTTTCATTGATTCTGACTCAACAACTTACATGCTGTTCAGTTTTTCATTGAATTTACATGATATTAAATAGGGCTGTGTATTGGCAAGAATTTAGCGATACGATACATATCATGACAGAGGGGTCACGATACGATATATCCCAATATATTGCGATACTGTACGCAAGGCGATATATTGCGATTTTTTGAGAGGGTGTCGGTCTTTTCCGCTCAGATTCAGCTATCGGAGCATGAAGCTAATGTTTACTTACAATGTTAATGCTACCCTTGCTCTCTGGCGCTCAAGAGGTAGAAGATCCAAATGGCTGGCTCACTGCTGCCAACTAGTGGTCAGAGGCTGAACTACAACATAAAAATGAATGGCTGGCAGGAAAGTTGACGTATTAAACCTTAACAAAAAAATCAATACAGTATCAGGAAATGAAATATCGCGCTATTTCAGTGTATCGATATTTTCTTACACCCCTAATATTAAAGCTGTTTATTGGAAACATTCTGTGGTAGCAGGAGGTAATTGTTTGTTGCGCGTGGTTCTTGAATTTGAGGAAATTGGTACTGGAAAGTCCTTGAAATGTCCTTGTATTTGATGTTGACCAAGGTGTGGGAACACTGAGAGTCACACACACATGCTGCCATGCGCTCTGTTTAATTCAACTCTCACTGTTGCTTTTCTAAAGTTTGCTGCCCACAGAGGCACCTGCTTTAGTAATGAGGTAAATATGCTCGGGGATCGCTGATTATTGTAAAAACATGACAAATATTGGTCTAATTTTATATTTATTAATTTCATAAAAGCAACAAAAAGCCAATTATAAAAACTAATTAAATCAATTATTGAATGAAAAGGGTGCAGAAAGAAGAAAAAAATATCTTATAAATCCATCCATTATCTATACCCGTTTGTTCCTTTCAGGGTCACTGGTGCCCATATCCAGCAGTCACAGTGTGAAGGGCGGGGTACACCCTGGACAGGTCACAAGTCCATCACAGGGACACACAAACAAGACAGACAACCATTCACTCTCTCTCTCTCACCTAGAGTCAATTTAGAGTTACCAGTTAACCTAACAGTCATGTTTTTGTTCTGTGGGAGGAAGCCGGAGTACCCGGAGAGAACCCATGCATGCACAGAGAGAACATGTATTGTAAACTCTACCCAGAAAGGTCCCCGGGTTGGGATTTGATCCAGCAACCTTCTTGCTGAGAGGCATCAGCTCTAACAAGTGAGCCACCGTGCCGCCAGTCTTATAAAAAAAAAACTAATTATTTATCCAGTCAGACACTTAATTAGCTTACCTCTAATGTAAACCGTTTAAAAAGCTCCTGTAAAGTTTTCAGTTTACTTGACTTCATTGATTTTATTGTGTACATCAGTCCCACATCATAAAACTAAGTACAGCTGACTCAATTTCCCTCAAGGAATTAATGCTTGTCAAATAAAATTATCTTTTACATAAGATTACTTTAAAATATTGTTTAATTCACATAATATTTATGTGTTACCATTACACACATGGACGCAATTGTTGGCACCCCTTGTTTAATAAAAGAAATGCCCACAATGGTCACAGAAATAACTAGAACCTGACAAAAGTAATAATAAATAAAAATTCTATGAAAATGAACAAATGACATTGCTTTTCAGCCATGCTTCAACAGCATTTTTTAAAATAAAACTCATGAAACAGGACTGGACAGAAATGATGGTACCCTTAATTTAATATTTTGTTGTACAACTTTTTGAGTCAATCACTGCAAACAAAAGATTCCTGTAGCTGTTAGTGAGACTTCTGCAGCTCTCAGCAGGTATTTTGTTCCACTCCTCATGAGCAAACTGATCCAGTTGTCTCAGGTTTGAAGTGTGTCTTTTCCAGACATGTTTCAGCTCCTTCCAAAGATACTCAGTATGATTTGGGTCAGCGCTCATAGAAGTCCACTTCAGTCCAATGTTTTTTTCTTACCCATTCTTTTGTTTTTAACTGTTTTGTGTCATTATCATGTTGCAAGACCCATGACCTGCGACTGAGACCAAGCTCGGTCGTAGACCAAAAGTTCAATTTTTGTCTCATCTGTCCAGAGGACATTCTCCCAGAAATGTTGTGGGTTGTCAACATGTAGTTTGGAAAATTCAAGTCTGGCTTTTTTATGATTTGGTGACGTCCACCTTGGTCATCTCCCATTAAGTCCACTTTGGCTCAAACAATGACAGATGGTGCGATCTGACACTGATGTTCCTTCAGCTTGAAGTTCACCTTTAATCTCTTTAGAAGTTTTTCTGGGCTCTTTTGTTACCATTCGTAGTATGTGTCTCTTTGATTCCTCATCAATTTTCCTCCTGCGGCCACATCCAGGGATGTTGGCTACAGTCCCTTAACTGTAGTCACAGGAACATCAAACTGCTTGAAGATGGTCTTATAACCTTTACCTTTAACATGTTTGTGTATAATTTTCTTTCTAATCTCCTGAGACAACTCTGTCCTTCACTTCCTCTGGTCCATGAGTGTGGTACACACCATGTCACCAACATTACAGTGAGTGTCTGTAGCCCTGTATACACTGACTGATTACAAGATTGTAGACACCTGTGATGATAATTAGTGGGCACACCTCGACTCAACATGACCTTTTGGTCACATTATTTTCAGGGATACCATCATTTCTGTTTCATGAGTTTTAATTTAAAAGAAAAGTAATTGTGTTCCTGCTACACAAGTTATGGCTTTATCTATGACCCAAAAATTATCTTTTACCTACTTCTTCCTTTCAGGGTCACAGGTGCCATGTTCAGCAGTTACTGTGTGCGGGGCGGGGTACACCCTGGACAGGTTGCAAGTCCATCACAGGGACACATAGAGATAAAAGAGACAGACAGTCCCACTCACCAATTAACTTAACATTGTGAGAGGAAACCCAGAACGCACAGAACATGCAAACTCTTCCCGGAAAGGTCCCCAGCCAGGATTAGATCCAGCAACCTTCTCACTGAGCAGCAACAGCTCTACCAACTGCGCCACCGTGCAGCCATTATGYCACTCAATCCTACTTAACTATTTCAAATCAACTTTTAAAAAATTCAGTCCTTGGTTCCTTCCTTGTGTGCAAAAAAAATCAAATAAAAACTGATCTGTATTAACAAAAAAGACAAAGAATGCGAGTGCTGCTGAACCTGAGTGGTCCATTTCACTCCTTAAATTATGTTGAGACTACGTGTAGCACATTCTCTGCTTTTCTGAGGTATCTTGTCATTAAACTTCCCAATAATGTGTTTTGCTTATTTGTGATGAAAAATATAAATTCTTGACATTTCAAACAATCTTGATACACTCACAGAGATTGCGTAAAACATGCAGACAGTGGAGAAGGTCCGTTAAAATGATCATTTTTCTACATGTGAGCTCACTGATAAAGAACACTTATTAGTTTTTACAAATCAATAACGATAAATGAAGGACTCAGGTGCAACAAACAAAAAACCAGTCCAGGCAGGTGTAGATATACAGTGGTTTGCAAAAGTATTCATACCCCTTGAACTTTTCCATATTTTGTCACATTACAACCACAAACATAAATATATTTCACTGGAATTTAATGTGAAAGACCAACACAAAGTGGTATACAATTGTGAAGTGGAAGCAAAATTTTACATGAATCAAAACATTTTTTACAAATAAAAAACTGAAAAGTGCGATGTGCAAAATTATTCAGCCCCCCTGAGTCAATACTTTGTGGAGCCACCTTTTGCTGCAATTACAGCTGCAAGTCTTTTAGGGTATGTCTCCACCAGCTTTGCACATCTAGTGACTGCAATTCTTGCCCATTCCTCCTTGCAAAACAGCTCAAGCTCAGTCAGATTGGATGGAGAGCGTTTGTGAACAGCAGTTTTGAGATCTTGCCACAAATTCTCAATTGGGTTTAGGTCTGGACTTTGACTGGGCCATTCTAACACATGAATATTCTTTTTTTTAAACCACTCCATTGTAGCTTTGGCTTTATGTTTAGGGTCGTTGTCCTGCTGGAAGGTGAACCTCCGCCCCAGTCTCAAATCTTTTGCTGACTCCAACAGGTTTTCTTCCAAGATTGCCCTGTATTTGGCTCCATCCATCTTCCCATCAACTTTGACCAACTTCCCGGTCCCTGCTGAAGAGAAGCACCCCCAGAGCATGATGCTGCCACCACCATATTTGACAGTGAGGATGGTGTTTTCAGAGTGATGTGCAGTGTTCTTTCTCCGCCACACATAGCGTTTTGCATTGTGGCCAAAAAGTTCAATTTTGGTCTCGTCTGACCAAAGCACCTTCTTCCACATGTTTGCTGTGTCCTCAACATGGCTTCTGGCAAACTGCAAACGGGACTTCTTATGGTTTTCTTTTAACAATGGCTTTCTCCTTGCCACTCTTCCATAAAGACCACATTTGTGTAGTGCACGACTAATTGTTGTCCTGTGGACAGTTTCCCCCACCTGAGCTGTGGCTCTCTGCATTTCATCCAGAGTCACCATGGGCCTCTTGGCTGCCTCTCTGATCAGTGATCTCCTTGTTCGGCCTGTAAGTWTAGGTGGACGGCCTTGTCTTGGCAGGTTTACTGTGGTGCCATAGTCTTTCCATTTCCGGATGATGGATTGAACAGTGRTCCGTGAGATGTTCAAAGCTTGGGAAATCTTTTTATAACCTAAGCCTGCTTTAAACTTCTCCAAAACCATATTCCTAACCTGTCTGGTGTGTTCTTTGGACTTCATGATGCTGTTTGCTCCCCAATATTCTCTTAACCAACATCTGAGGCCGTCACGGAGCAGCTGTATTTGTACTGAGATTAGATTACACACAGTTGGACCCTTTTGAGTCATTAGCAGTCATCAGGCAACTTCTGAATGCAATTGGTTGCACTCAGGGAAAAGGGGGCTGAATACTTTTGCACGTCGCACTTTTCAGTTTTTTATTTGTAAAAAATGTTTTGATTCATGTAAAATTTTGCTTCCACTTCACAATTGTATACCACTTTGTGTTGGTCTTTCACATTAAATTCCAGTGAAATATATTTATGTTTGTGGTTGTAATGTGACAAAATATGGAAAAGTTCAAGGGGTATGAATACTTTTGCAAACCACTGTATCAAACACATTCCACCTTTTTAGCTCTTAAATATGTTTTGCTTGTCCTGATGCTGCATAGATATCTTTATATTTTGTTTGGGTCATATTTTTCAACCCATTCAGTTTTCTGTATTCCCTATAGCATTTTTTGATTACATGACAGTATTTGCTGTGGAACTGCTAATAAAAGTAATAGATTTCTGGTTGATCAGTTTTTTGAATCTGTGGTTCTGCAGGTTTGCTGTCTTCATTCTTCTCTGGCTCTGGGTCAGACTCTGGCTCCATCATGTAAGGCTGGATGGACAAGTCTTCTGTTGTTGACACCTTTTAATTAATTTGTAAATAAAAAGTTTCTGCACCACTAGATAATCGTATCTCTGCTATCAAACTACAAAAATGGCCAAATAGGGTGGAGTGGACGCTGTGCAACCTGGTGGGGGGCGGGGTTTGAAGCACCTTGTTTAGATTTAAAGAGACAGTCTCAAAACGAGTTGATCTGAGACACCTTAGAAAAAGAATGAAAGAGGGGGCTTGTGGAGMTACAATAAGGAGGAATTCAGACCAAAGCATTGCAGTTCCACTTTATATAGACCCCACTGAATGATTTAAAGTTGGGAAAAAAAAACATTTAAAAACATMTGTCCACTTTAAATAATCAGTTAATTTATGACAAACAAAGGTGCTGCAATGACAGAAACCTGATTATGAAGACAAACCAGGTGTGATTTAAAGATGAGAAGTAAACCGAACCCAAAGATACAGGAGGAGCCATTCTAACATAAATAAAACCAGAAAATAAGTCACAAAGAAAGGAATAGGATCAAATAAATAAAACAGAAACTTAAAGAAAGTTTAACAATAGACAGCCATCATAAATAATGATGTTTCTGTGCAGTTTCACCATGCCTCATTAACCATGATGGCTCCAACTCCATCACTTCTCAAAATAAGACCATCTTAGTTCAAACCTCTGGTATTTAGGGTTCCGGGAAATTTCCTCAAAGAATGCATGGTTGGACCTTTTTTTAACTGCAGTAGACCTCTGACCTGAAACTGTTGTTTAACCTGCCTTTTTATGTATTTTTATGAAAACCTGTGTTTTCTTGTTTCAGGTGATTCCGGTGGCTTAAACTCTGCAGGAGACAGAGGGAAGAAAGGGAGGAAGACGGCAGCGGACGATCCCGCTAACAGACCTCCTGCCGCTAAGAGGCCACGAGCCTGCAGCATCTGCCACGTCCCGGGACACACCCGAGTCACCTGTCCCCAGCGGTGACCTCGGATCTGCTTTCAAAAGCAGCACCAAGTCCCGACGGTCGGAGCGTCTCCCTGCACGACTGAAAACTTCCAGACAGAGCTTCATTGTTGGGCTGCAGCGCGACATACGCTGGTGACAACAGATGGTGCCACTTTTCTTTCACTTTTCATTCTGTTCTGGCCTCTCAAATCTGTGTTTGAAAAAGGACTGGATGGAGAGAAAGAAAGAAAGACAGACAGACAGACAGACAGACAGACAGACAGACAGACAGACAGACAGACAGACAGATAGACAGACACACACACACTTTAGGAGGACTTTTAACATGTTTTCTGACAACAGACGCACTATTTGAACTGTTTTATTAAAACTTAAATAAAAAAAAAACATGTTTTCTACATTTTTGCAGCCGGAGGAATAAAAAGAAATCTCTYAGCACAGGAAGAGCTGCAGCAACACATCTTGCTCTGAAGTGTTGAACCACTTTTAAAACGTGGAGGTGTTTGTAACAACCTAACATGCAGAGCAGTTAATTGGAACGTTTCTCATCTGGCCTCAGGTTAAATTATATTATTGTTTTTATATTATTAGTCAAGAACAGGCCTAATTGAAGGTGTCATTAGCGAGATTTACCATACAGATTATTTGTTTATATGTAAATGTTGAAGGAAAAAAAACATTTTAAGAAACATAATAGATGCAGAATGATAAGGTATTTTTTTTCTATTTTTATGTTTGAAGAAGTGTTAGATTTTGTTTGTTAAAACAGTAAATAAAACTATTATTTCCCTTCTAGATTTTTTATGATTTTCCAGTTGCTACAGGGGTTCAGAGTTAGGTTTCACTCTGAGTCATTGGTGCTTTTCTTTTTATTTATTTGGTTTCAGTTTTGGTTTCGTGATCATTTTTGGGAGATTTAAGCAGCTTATTGGGAAAGTACTTTAAGTGCCTCAATAACATCACTTACTGAGTCTTCTTTAACACAACCATTATTACTGTAGTGACCACAGCTGGAAGAACCATAGATTCCTGCAGCTGCACCACGACATACACAAACTTCAGTAGAAGCTGTATTTAATGACRTTTTTCTGTAAATGATCAGGGCTTCCCTGTAAAAAACCTTCACTCGTTAGCCTCATTGGAACCAGATGTTTGAAGTCAAAGGAGCGTTGCTCAATATTTGAAGTGGTTTTCTGTGTAAAACTTGTAAGCAATATCTTACGGTAGGTTTTTGAATGCCCTCACTATTCCAGCTGACATGTTTGTGATATTTTGTGTCAAAATAACAGAATGAAAAAGAGCACGAGTGACTGTTGGACATACTTTCTGACTGCCTCGATAAAAGCTCCTCAAAACGATCAGTGTTAAAGCAAAATGCCACCATTGCTGTCTGAGCACCTTTCTGCATGAAAAAAAAAAAACATACAAACTTCTAACCAGTCACATAATACTGTAAAAAATAAGTTCAGCATTAGCCTCGTGTCGACTCTATGTTGTCATGTAACTGACAATGAGAGGATTTTGCAGCTTTGCATGAACTGTGAGCTTTAAGGCCAGTCTGCCAGAGGACATGTAGGATTCCAGTTCATTGAGACTTTGAACTCGTTAGTCCCGATTCAATGTAAATATTCAGGTGATTAACCCATGAGTTTAACGGTAACTGGGAGGGTTGCCGGTTTGATCCCCCGTTCCCTGCGTCTCAGTCGTCGTGTCCAGTGCATGGCAGCCCCACCTCAGGGCAGCTGTGYCCACAATGTGGCTTACCACCACCAGTGTGTGAATGTGTGAATGACTTGTGTGAAGCGGTTTGGGGTTTGATAAAGGCGCTGTATAAGTTCAGGCCCTTTACCAACCGACCAGCTATCTACAACAGGTAAGATATTAGCGCTTCATAACTGACACACGTCAGGTGTCAAAAGTGTGTTTGGGGTTTTTGCTCCTATGTTCCACCTCGGTATCGGAGCAGTTTATTATTCCCAGAAGTGCAGCTTACCTCGGTTCACTGCAGAGTTGAATTTGAGTGCACCATTAAAAAGAAATGTGAGAATAAAAGAAAATAAGGCGGAAAGGTTCTTGGAATGAAGCCGTACGGGAATGCTTTTGTCCTGTTTTCTGTGTGTGTGTGTGTGTGTGTGTGTGTGTGTGTGTGTGTGTGTGTGTGTGTGTGTGTGTGTGTGTGTGTGTGTGTGTGTGTGTGTGTG